TAGAATTACAGAAAAGGCGTTATTCTGTCGAATTAATCATATGTATGATTTTTTACAATGTATTTTCAAATTCAACTGCGTTCAGAAGTGAAGCTTCGAAAAAATCGTCAGGGAAAACTGAGTTTTTGAAATTTCCAACGGAAAATTTCATCGCGAGTGGCTGTCACAGAAATAGAAGATGCATTTTAAACACCATTTTGTCCTGCTGGACGGAAATCCGACTGTTCATTTGCTCCCGTTCTCGAAACATGAATGTGCAGGAGATAAACTTGTGAAATGTACGCCATGGGTTTCAGATAATCACATTTTCATCGTGGTAGGAGAGGAGAACATTTATCCTATGGGTCCAAATCCGTAGATTCAAGTTGTTTTTGCTGCAATTGATAAATTCACTATGAGAAGAGATATGTTGACTTCAAGTTGGAAGCATTGACTATTTTCGCACCCTATGGACTCCTAGCATTCACTTCATCGCGAATATACTCTTATTAGTTCTCAGAGTGTGGCTACAACGAATGAAGGGAAAAAGGAGTGGGATCCAGGCAGAGTTTTTTTTTAAACTTTTCGTCTTGAATTTGAGGTGCAAAGAAGTTTAAAAATTCGGAAAAAATCTTTCCTTTTGGGTCATTATGTGTGATAGTTTCAAACAAGAATGCATTATACCAAACGAACTAATTCTCTTTGTTTAGAACATGTGGTTACCTTGCGGCTCTGAACGTTTTTGGCTGTATCACCGAGGCGGGCTTAGCTGCATTAAAAAATGGATTAGTAGAGACAGAGGTTCTTATTGCTTCTTTATTATTTACACTGTTAAATGCTGTTCTGGAACCAAGACGAAATCTCCTGTTGTATTTCTTGACACGTTTTTGCATTCGCGATGAGAGATGCATTCGTCGTGACGGATGATTTCAGCGTTCTGTTTTTAGGTTAATCAATCAGTCTTCAACTACATTGCTAAGCCTACCGTGCCGCCTGCAGTGACAAGTATATGGGGGCAACGTACAAAAGATTTTTATTGATCTCGAGTGGAGTTTGCTTACGTAATTCAGCTCGGCAACGTACGAACTTGTCCCGTGATCTCATTTTAAACTCCCACCTGCATTGTGATATTTATTAGTTCGGCCTACGGTTCAGTGTGGCCATGATCGTAGTGTCAGTATTTCTTCATTGGCTATTCTAAGCTCACTAATTCGGTTGATCTCGATGTATCAATTGTGGCCGGTCCTGTATAATTTCAGTCTCAGGGTTTGAGCATGCTCAATTTTTGGGATTCTACGTCGGTATGAACTTGATAATTCTGCTTCGGTGTTTTACATTGTTGTGGCACTCGTTTGTTAATATTATTTAGTGCTTTACACCAGATGCGGAATTTTAATATTGGTAAACCTGTTGTATGACCGGCAAATCACTAGTGTTTAAGGGAAGTGCTTTTTCTCCCAAAGACATCTGTTTCCTTCACTCTCTTTCTATTTTTGCCATTTTTAGAACTTTTATCAACAATGGTGAATGCTAATGATTTTACAGGTAACGTGTTTGGACCTCTTGTGTCACATTAAAGTGTTGGTTTACAAGTGTACTTGGATAATTACGTTAATACTTGGATAGCCCGTCCTCACTGGTTGTGCGGGCTCTAGCATGGTCTCCGTTTCTTCGGAGTGTTGCTGGTCTATCTATTGTGGTTTTCTGGTGTTCCGAGGTCAGCCTGGCCAAACGGTGCCCCTGTGCCCTAAGTCGTCGCCACTACATGTAGTTACCGGCCTTTGTGGATCAGAGAGAGATTTGCCACCATGCGACTAGTTTCATATCGGAGTGGTGGTGGATCCTAGTATTGGTTTACTGTTAGCTAGGCTTCCTGATGAAAACGCCAGACTCCTTCTCTGCTTAGGTGATGCTGCCGGAAAACGAATCCCCCAACTGTACATCGCAGCCCGACACTCAGGAACACCTCCCACCCACGATAAGGCGGTAGACGGTTGGGAGGTTACAAGTGTATGATGAACTAAAGCAGAAGTGGTGCACCCTTGTGAATCGTGTGTGGTATCTGTTGATCAGACGTTTCGCTTTCTGTGAATTTCATTTTCACTCTCTTTCTATTTTTGCCATTTTTAGAACTTTTATCAACAATGGTGAATGCTAATGATTTTACAGGTAACGTGTTTGGACCTCTTGTGTCACATTAAAGTGTTGGTTTACAAGTGTACTTGGATAATTACGTTAATACTTACCGTAGTCGACTTATCGTAGTTGTTGCTAACCCGGCAGAGTCCTTGTCACAAGGTGGCAATCTTTATCAGTGATGAACACTTGGCAACACTTAAACTTGGTTATCTTGAGAGGGAAAGTAGGCTGGACCAGCTTGAAGTTTCACTTAGAAGAAAAGAGGGATCTTTACGGCTCAAGTAGGCCCATTTATAAAAGATTCCTAAAATAGATGAATATATTGGATTCGAACACAAAACTAACGTTTTATCGAAGTTCACACGTAAGCTATTTACAACTGCAATGAAAGCGATCACTGAAGATGAAGAATTTAGTCCTGATAACAGCGCAAGGAGACTATGCTTTTCTAGTGGCATGTAGTTGCGACATCCATTCTTATTTCTCGCGAGACATTTAGTCTTTCCCGTTCTTATGTTGGTGAGCAGAAAACATTTTACACTACCGGATAATCTACGCAAGCATCGATAACTGTCTACAAACGTGCGTATCCAAACAAGTTTTTTTTTGTTTATTGATCAAGTATCATAGGAACACGTAATTATTTCATAACACTATTAACAACAAGACTGAAATCTCACACTGGAACTGAGAATGAGCAGAGAAGGTGAGTGACGGAGAAAATTGTTCAGGAGCGACATTTTCGCTTTTGAAGAACGTCTTGATGAAGGAATTATGGTGGAAGTAGATATATTCAAGAATTAAGAAAGGCGAATTCATTTCTCTTCATCTGCATTATCTTTGCACTGAGTCGCCAGAAACTCACGAACACCCTTCGAAATTCCTCCGTTCGCCGCCGGATCCTGAAAACAAATAATGCTTACTGCACTGTCGATTATTCTTGGTTTTTCTCATATTCTTGATGGACTTTTAGGAAAATAATTGGGATATCTCCCAACGGTTAACAACGTCATCGCGGATGGAAGGTGTTACTAGGTGTCGGGGGTTTGCGATGTACAGAGTGGGATTCATCACCCCGGCAGCGTCTCCAAAGCTTAGGAGTCCGGCGTTTCTATCAGGAAGCTCAGCTAAGAGCAAACCAATACCAAGAACCACCACTGTCTTGGTACCAAACTAGTGGCATTGTGACAAATCTCGCTCTGATCCACAAGGGGGGCGACTGCCTGTGGTGGTGATAACATGGGACAGACTTTGGCCTGGCTGACCCCGCGGCTCCAGGGAACCGCATTGGTTAAACTAGCAAAACTCTGAAAAAAAATAGAGATTATGCTGCGGCCCGCACAACCAGTAAGGGCTGGCCGTCAAATTAGCCAAGTAGTCGGGATAAATGTTGTGCAAAATAATGACCATTGTGGTGTTCTAATTCTAAACTGGTATTTTTTACTTAACTGTACTCGTTGATCTCTTCGAAGCTTTTGTGTATAGCTCACTGCTTCACAGTATCGATAACCTTGTCGTGATATTGATTTGTACAGTAAGGACTTCGTCATCAGGACAAGGTTACCTCAATTGAATGAATTCCCGGTAGCGATGTTAAACACGTCTTTTCAGTTCTAATAAGTTACACTTATTTTTAGTACAATGTCAAGTCTGTGTTTCCAGAGCAACAACATGGTATGTTTTGTGGCTTTTGCCATGTGGGTGTCTAATTAATGTAACATTCCAGAGATCTAGATTTGTCCTCGGGGCACGTATAGCACACTAGTAGGAGGCGTCCTGAAATTCACCTGGGATCGATTCCAGCGCGATAGAGTCACCAAGTCTTCTATTCCTCGGGTGTCGACAAATTGGTACCAGATTTGTCTGAGAGGAATCGGCATCGGCAGCACTGTCTCGATACATCGGTAGACCGCCGCTAGTCATTACAAAGTCCAGATATGCATTTAGTCACCGTCAATGGTGCTTAATGAAGTCGAGTGCATGGTGCATCCTCCAGGGATTGATCAACATCGAAAGCCTTATTCTTTAGCTATGTGATTTGTCCTTATAAAAACCGCACGGACACCATTTCTATCTCTTTCGTTCTCCTGCGAGTATATGAAGATGGCCTGTCTTGCATGCACATCTATCTCTCGGTTCCTGTTCGGAGAATTCGTATTGTGAATACATTTGGTTATTATCAACAAGAAAAAAGTCTAGCCATCTGTTCAACTATCTTCCATAATTGTTCCTCCATCTCTACTAAACCGTTTTTTCTCATAAGTGTGTTGTCATTCTTCTCATAATATGAACCGACCTTATTTTTCTTTTGGAGTAATGGATCTTTCGTTTGTTGATAAGCGTTTATAAATTAGCATCGGTTTCAAAGCTGTCAGATAAATTTCGGTAGCCGTTTTTAGTCAAGATAAAGAAGCATTGGAACTTTTCCCGGGCATGAGCTGAGATCATCGCCGTTGTATGTGATGTACATGAGTTATTTGTCAGAACACTTTACTAAACCGGCCAGTTTTCATTGGAAGTCTTTAATACTCACTGTAGAACAGTCAGAAGTCACTTTTGACGGTTACTAAAATGTCGAGCTGGTCATAATTCCCTTGACCATGCGTTCATTCCTCTATTATCCAAGACTCGCTTCTTCGTGAAGATGGAAATCTTTTCTATCGAAAGCTTGTAGGCCATGTCGCTCTTGGCATGAACAGGCTGTATAGTTCTACTGTATTGTATGAGAGCAGCAAGTATTGCAGCAAACAAACGATTGTCTTTTACGAGCTGATTTCACCATATGCTTGCTATTCACATCCTATTCTTCATCATTCCTTTACTCGTTTGTAAACATTTTTCACTTATAAATTTCAAACGGTTATACTAAAAAATGAATTTTATTAAGAAGTTTCTATGGGCGTGCTGACCTTTGCGAAAATTTCAAGGTGATTCTTTCCCTTCCAGATTAGACCACATCGGAACTCAGGATCGTTCTTCGTCAGGAATTTGTAAATTTTATCGAGGCAGTCGTGAACTAAACATATGGGCTAATATCGTTCGTTAATAATCGTTAAATGAACTGAAAGTAATTGTTAAAAGAATGACGAACCTTTGCTTAGGGTTACGTAAGGTAAAGGTTTCATCATTTTCGAGATGTCTTGTTGTGTGTAGAACGATGGTTTGCCAAAGTCTCCAGTTCCTTTGAACCAGCCGACAATCTCCTTTAAGTCCCAATCATCATCATCGTCATTACTTACTTGAAAAAGGTGTCTTGCGAGCTCAAATTTTGATTCGTTAGCTATAGACACCAAATTTCTGGTGCTTTGGAATCACTTAAATTTGTCACTGAAATTATTTATGTAATATAAACTCACCTGATCGGCATTTGTAAAAAATAACCGCGCCCATGTAAAAAACGGAAATCCGGCTCCTTGAGGGTACGTCGTCAACACTTGTAGTGGAATGTCGCGTGGAATTTCTCCGTATTCAACCACCTAAATCACATAGGCGGCCTCGCTCGTGCCTTTGCAAAAGTCTTCAAAGTGATTTTAGGTAAAAATCTTCGCAAATAAAACAAAATGAAGACATCGATCTCAAATGAATAGTTTGAACCTCACCATCTACTGTTTATTGTATCTGGCTGTGTTCAGTTACCAGTCGGTAATCTTGGATAAAGGATAAAAAATAAAGTTCTCGGTGTTGATCAACCCCTGAGAAGTGCGCCGTTCATTCATCTTCATTAAGCATCGTTGCAGGGGAGTGAATGCATATCTGGCCTTTACTGGACTATCTGGACTCGCGGTGGACTACCGACGCATCTAGTCAGTGCTGCTATCCTCCCAGACAAATGTGGTACCAGTTGGCCGACCCCGGATGCGTGGAAGGCTTTGTGAGCTTTGGGAGTGAAGATCGATCTCACGTGTATTACAGGACTCCTCTTACCACTGTGCTACACGCGTCCCGTTGGAGAGTGGAGCTAATAACATTAGGCACTTATCTGTCATATACACCTCTCGCCAGTTATTTTTGTACAATTTTTCTTTAACGTGCTTCTAGATGCTCATGCAAACAGCGAAACGATTAGTACAAAAAATGGCGGTAAACCGAGAAAATGACAAGTTTTTTGTGCTCTACCACGCTCCTTCTAATTGGGAAGCTTCGAATGAATATTTTTTTCTACATTAGTAGTGCTGCTGGCAATCAATTTTAGTGATCTGGGAGCATAAAATCCCATTGAACCCAATTATCTTAAGCTTCTGAAGGTTCTCAGTTTTGCCCATATCTCAGCACATTGTGGTTGGATTTCACAAAATGCTCTTTAATGGAAGAAGGATGAACAGTAAATAAGAGTTAAGCATTGTGATCTCCACTTGATATGCCTTTTTTACTGAGGGCATGGAAAATAGATGGTTTCTGCATTGTTTTATATTGTCATAATGCTCTTTAGTGGTAGAACTGTGGATTTACGGTATTATTCTAACATTTCTTCCTTCTCGAAACGTTCATTGCTTTCATTTTAAAGTCTCGTCAAGCAATGAAATAAGTTTGTATATGTTAAGATGATGGGAGGATGAGTATGAAATGGGCTATGAAAATTTGAAGATACCTGTATGTTTTCATTCTCAGCCGCTTTTTTCCTCTCTGGAAGAGTTTCTGAGGCGTCTACGGTAACTCTGAAACGAGATGGCACGAGAAAATGATTTACTACAGCGAGTGATAACAGTGATGCTACTCATTTTTCAAGAAACATGTTCATCATATGTCCTTAAGCGTGTGAATGAACTAAAGTTTAATAATGAACATGACTTCGAACAAACAGAAAGCATTTAATTGAATATGGTAAGCGTATTATCGAATTCTCTTCCATGCTGTGTGGCTTCAAATGAAAAAAACTAGGTCGCGTGGATGTCGAGTTACACTGTGGGGCATTGAACTAATGTATTCGTTAAGGTTTGTCACGCGATACTCAGCTTGGACATCTGGGAGTGCTGCCTTAATTGGCAACCTAGTTGAGGGAAATGAAGAAACGAATTCTTTTGAACCATCGTCTAGCGCGGAGAACTAATAGCACTAATTATGTGAAAATCAACCACAACCTTACAAACGAGTGATACTACCTCGATACGAAAGAAGCATCAGTCCATGAAGTTCTCCGAAAGGATGCGAAATTTACCTTCAACGAATTGTTCCATGTAGCCATAGTCTTGAAAAACCTCCGTTTCTCGAATAAAAGCAAAAAGTCGTGTTTGAGCACAGCGACTCAGAGCAATTTTTTGGAAGATAGAAATTTTCTTTGCAAGCCTCCTATTACGTGAATGGAGACACAACAGAAGATGTGGTCATATAATGGCCGACTTTGTTTGGAAGTTAATTTTAAAGTGTGTAATTTATGTGAATGAACATGTGTTAAAAGGGACGTAACACCCTACTAGATGATTCACTTACGGTGGACACTTGGCAGCCGCAAAATCAGCGCAATCGACTTCGTATCTGAAAGGAAGGCTTCAAATATAATGGATTCATGTAGTTTTAATCACATCTGCTATTAAAATTGCTTATTTCAAAGGCCATTGTTTTTTCAGAATATACTGGCTTATTTCTAGAAATTTTCTGAACTGCTAGCATGAAGCTCACAAAACTCACCGAACTAGAATTCTGAAGGAACCAAACTGATATGCGATTATTTGATAGAAAGGACCCGTTGCATGAGCCCCTCGTGGTCGAGTCATCTTCATTTTGAGGTTTTGGTCGAACGTAACATGACCGATTTCCATAAGATCAGATGCTTCCATTCTGAAAATTGCTAGCCTGATTTCTAATAAATTATGTCACCTGTGAACCTGTTAACTACCAAGTCACTTGAGCAAAAAAGAGTGCACGTTTGATTTATGCTCTTTCGAGTGTCGAAAGTGCCAGAAGGCTTGTTGGAGCGACACTTAAAGTCCTCTTTAGGCCCGTAATTTTCGTTGTTCTTCGCAATAAGTTAACCACAAGTAACCGCGCCTCTAGGCTTGGTCAAAGTTGCGTTTCCAGTGGAAATGAAGCTTAAAACGAGCACTCTTCAGTTCCTGAAATCCAACTGGAAGAGATTGGAAGAGATGCCCTCGTTAAACAATACTGTTTGACACCAATAGAGGCCATCCATTCACAACGTGATGGTTGACTATTAACCACTGATAGGAGTATTAAATTTTTTTTTCCAACAAACCATTCTAACGGACCAATATTTTTTGAGTTCTTCAGTACAGAAATACAATGAATACTATAGCGAGATAGGTTTGTCCTTGAAAAGGTTCATAAGTGAGTAAAAAAGGTGCTGTGCTGTAAAGACTTAGTTTACCTGGAAAGAATACAAGTCTTCCCAACACGTTCACAATCGATTCGGAATAAACCATCGCCAGCCTCCTAAAATGTTTGAAAACTATAAAGATTCCATAGGTTTCCATCACTTCTGACGAAGGACATTTCTTTTTAGTGATACTTTAGAAAAACTTCTAATGCTCCACTATATTCTCCAGTTATCGCGTTTTCCAATGAGAGCGTTAACTTATTTCACTGTTATTCGATGTCAAATTTCAAATAACTACTGTACACTTTAAGCTCAATCTATTCGTCACTGCTTTCGCAACCATTCATTTCAGTGTTTTGGTGTTGAGGTAAAACATATGCTTGAAATATAGATACAATCTTCAATGGTGCTGAGATATTTGCAAGACTCTGGACTGCAGGTGTATGCGGCGGGGAACGAACGCGCTATTGTGCTTTCCGGGAAGTAGCGCGTTAACCACACCACACGGGTCTTTCGTTTCGCCTGTCTCTCAGCTAGTTCTATCGATCTTTTACCACCAGCAATCACCCGTCAGCCTGCCGTTAAAAAGAGTAGGCAGTAAACAATAAGTTAAAAATTGTGAATATAGAGACAATCTTGAACGTGAACCTTGGGTTAGAGAGAAAAAGAAAAGCAACGTGTGCCACATTCGGACCTCTCAACCAAGCCAGCGACCAGCTGACGGGCGCATCGCGGAACTCTGTATTCACCGTTTCGACTCATTTCAGCATTCTGTTATTGCAGCATATGGCTTGATAATTCAAACACATCGAAATTTTTCCGTGCCAGCTAAACAGCCTTTAGACGATGTCTTCTAGAATAGAACCGGCACGCACACACTCTAGGTGGACTAGGGAGATGAGAGTTTCGAATCTATTTTGGAAATCAAGGGCATACAACATTGAGAGCAAAACAGGGCAACAGATAGACAGAAAGTAGTCGTCCAAGAGGGTTCAAAAGTCTGCTGGAATTTGCGTTACTCGTGATGATGAGCAATCTAAGTATCAGAGTAGAAAAGTAGATATTCTCCATTACTGAACCTTTCTAAAGCCTTTGATCACTGTATTTGGGTGCTCAGGCGTACAGTTCTCCTGTGGGAATAAAATCATCTCTAGTTACTTTATTACTCATACTTTACTCTTAGTCTGTGTAGTTGCTCTCTTTGTCGTATACAAAACATTCTACAAACTCTTATTGATGGCTATAGTAGACTTCGTAGTTCGTTTCCTCACTACGTTGAACAAGATGATGATCTGATTCGAGTAGAATGACATTGTGATTAGCACTCGGTGATCTACAGAACATTTCAAGTTGCGAATACGACTCACTTATGAGTTACAAACAGTTTTGCCTATGTTACAGGTACTTCTAAAGGATGGTTATATCGTTTTGGAGTCCACTCCAATGTTTTTTTTTCTGCTGTCAACCCTTCTCGTTACATGACTAGCCGTTTTGTTTCGCCTTTGGAGCACCATACATTATGTTCTTGTGGATGTCAACGGTGAGATAATTTTCGAACGTTCAAGCTCCAGAGGCTTGCAAGCTATCGTCTCTGGCGGCTATGTCTCAAAAGGCCTCGTTAAAGTGTTTTACGTAAAATGCTTTACGTGAGTGAAGGTTTCAACTATTAGCTTAACTGCACAGTGAGCTACTAAGAGAACCGTTGGCTCCAATTGGCGAGCTCTGTTTTGAGTAAGTCAATTAATCAGCGGATTATCTGAGACAACCGGCTCTAGATTTTGTAGTTTTCTGTAGTTTTCAGTGTTCACAGAATACATTTTGCTACGACTACACAGCTATCTCTGCAAATAGTGCTTTGATTGCTAGCGTACCATGAGTTTTCCATGAGTTGGGTTTTCTGCCTATTATACGAAGTTCTACCACTTTTCTCAGCATTGAGCTCATCAGAGAAAACGGTGGGGAGTAATTTGAAGTCAGTTAGCATGGTGTTTTCGTTCGAAGAACTTCGTTGCCGAACACAGTATGGAAGTGAGCCGCTTTGAAGATGATATGTCGCCGTCATGTGGGGACCATTTTTCTATGAAGATACCTAAGGTTTGATTCAGAAATTTTTTTCATCTGCTCTAAATGCGGCTGCCATCGGTAATCTTTCTTATCTTCGATAGATACACTCTTTGTTCACAACCGCTAATAAATTGACATTTGTTTCGACTCTACCGATAGCTTTTTCCAGGTCGATAAAGATTAAGATAAAGCTACGATGGTAGATACGTGGTAATAAAGTAGTACATGTACTGAACAGTTGTTTTGTAGCAGATGTTTTAGGATATCAAGCTGAGGTTTTACAAATTAATGCGACATCATGTCGTTACGTTAAAAGAATCCCATCTTCTGTCAGGGCAGGCGTTGTACTCACCTGGGTCCCGAAGACGCTGTTGCGATTGAATTTCTTCTAGTCTTCGACTGGGTTTTCCTTAATTTTCTCCTCTTTTTTCTTTTTCTTATTACCTTGTGCCTCTCTTCTTGGGTAAAAAATACGAGCTCTAAGCTTGCATCCAGCCAAATTTTTTCTAGGGGTAGGAGTTGATCGATCCAGTGCGGAACAGCGGCACAACCAAGGAGTCAACGCGACACTATCTTCCGTCTATGAAAAAATGACTTTGCCATGAATCGTGACGTTGAGAAATTCCTTTCCCTATCGGCGGCTTTCTTAAAATTCCATCTAACGACAGATTAAGATAAAGCTACGATGGTAGATACGTGGTAATAAAGTAGTACATGTACTGAACAGTTGTTTTGTAGCAGATGTTTTAGGTTCGATCATCGATTCGAAGAAACCTAGCAGAACCGCTCCTATTCTCATTTTCTATCTCATTACAATTTTCCATGCCAATGGTCCTTTTCGCTATTCCCCACTGATTTCGCTTTCAAGTTTCCAATGTCAAATTTGCAGAAGGGTTTGTGATCATCGATCACTTCCTCCATTTAATCGTCTAGAATCAAATTAGCTGTTGTCAACTGTACAGGTTAGTGAGCAGTAATTGAAAATAGCGATCTTCTTTTAACGCTTTGGTAAGACAGAAGACTTCAAGGTTGGATGGACGAATCTATCTTGTGGGTGAAAACGAGGCTGGTAACCGAGGAGCGAGCGATAATATTTGCTTAAATAGTCACCGATACTTCGATATGTGTTTCCATATTTCGTGAGGGGAACTTTTCTCCACCAACGAGATGGGTCACGTCATTTAATTGGCTTGTTTGTGTTCTTGCTTGTACTCTTCTTGGCCGAAATACATGAAGTTTTAAGTGACTTTTAGCATTAAGAGGAGCGTAAAGGTTGACGTTAGAGGAGACTCTGTTATGGCATTGTAAGGGCAGAGCAAGAAACACTGCCTGACCTTCCGTGGACGTGTCAATTCATCCGGCTCCAATGCTTTCCTATCCAAACCGAGACCTATTCCCTCTCAAGGTTGCGTGTATGTGGTTATCAAGGTTGCTTTATTGATGGTTGCGTGAACTCTTATTTCGTCGACACTGCCGTGGCCGTTTTAATTCATTTCCGGGGCTTTAATATTATAGAAAGCCGCTAGTCATTTTGATCAAAGCGGAGCTTTCTGGGAAGCACGAATTACGAAATATCCCTGGAACAGTACGGATACCTTTTCCGCTCTTTGTAGAATAACGCTTCGACGTTAAAAGACATAAGATTGCTAACAGCAGTCCTCACGATAACTGTAAAACTGAAGCATAGCAGCTCATATATTCCTCACTGTGGAATTAAGAAGCCGGTTAATTCGCTGGATTCATTCCATCTCCAACAAGAACAGCGGTAACACAGGTGGTATTATCAATGATAATGGTTGATCCGATATTACGATTGGTTACAAGGGTAAAAATCTTATACAAGCAAACTCCTGATGAGTCGCCCATTCTAATGCTTATTTTTCATGAATCATGAAGGTACAAGTTATTTTCGGTTTCAGTTTGGTACAAAGGATTAACATTTGGAATGTAAACCTTGAAAGACCTAAGTCGATTCTTTTCAATTTCTGTTTACCGTCGTCCCTATGTTGAGTATATTCACCATTAATGGTTTCTTAGAAAGTCGTAATGTTCTAAAGTGTAAACACGAACACGTTTAACACGTTTGTTGAAAGTCAATGAAACACATGCTCGGCTTTGCCCGTTGTCCCGTTTTCTCCTTGTCCCGTTTAGAGCGCTAGTGGAAGTTATCAAGCTTTTTTGAATTATTCGAGGACCTAAATGGGCCTAAATTGGAATGGGATGAGCAAGGTGAAGACTTGTTTATGTTTACTGTCGCTTCTTTCAACCGTGTGCATGGGTCTGAGGCCATGATGAGTGATGTATAATCAAAACTGAGCAAAAGAAGGGAATGAGCGACATGATGAGCTTTAAAAGCAGTGAGCACATAGTGACAGACAAATGACGATGTTTAGCAGTTATTTTTTCAACTTTATGCTTCCTGGTTCAACTTACGCTTTGGAAATCTGAATTTGAAGAAAAGGATGGAACGAAGAACCTCATATGGGCTTCAGGCCCATGACTACCCTTGCTCATAGCTCAAGTGTTATTTTCCGCATCAACTAAAGCCTTTTCTTTGCCTTTACCCTTTGCTTTTAACTGCAGCTTCAGCTTAACAGGTCCAATGCCGATTTGTGCTCCATTTTCGCTGGCACGTGAGCACCTGTCAAAGGTAATTGCGAAGCCCACCTGAAGTTCCGATTTAGTCGTCAACCATATGCGACTATAATCAGCTGTTCTAAAGTTCCTCACTGGAAGTCACGAAAAAATGCGGCTCTGAAGAAGGCGATACTGCCGAAACGTCAGCTAATGTTGCATTGTATTGTGTTTTTCTATGGAAGTAAATGCATGCTGTTTAAAAACCTCATGATTGCTGAACAAGAAAACGACACGTTCATATTCCAATGCCGAGGTTAATAGAAAGTCTGTCCTGGGAACTGAGAAGCTTTCAAGAGCATCGAGGATAGAGTGAGGAGAGCAAAGAACACCCGATTCCGTGCCTACCTTTGTAAATTCATGATTCCTCTTGCCTTTACCGATGCGTCAGAAACTTGGTCGCTACGTAAGCAGAATGAAAGGCCACTCAGTGTTATTAAACGGGCAGTCGAAAGGACGTCGTTAGAAGTATCCTTTGTCACATCAGTGAGGGAAGTTATCCGAAGCTTCTACCTATGTCAACGATCAAAAATCAAAGATTCCGTTCTATACTCCAAACTATCCGAGATAAGGTAGCTCAAACGCGTAATGCTTATGACGTAAGTGACTGGATTCTTCGGGTTGTCAAATGTTCTGCAGGAAGACCATCGACCCGATAGTCAGAGTTTTTCACGAAAGCCCTTGGAGAAAGGTATAATGCTAAGCGAGTCCTTTAAGTGAGCAGAACCCTCTGGACTACTTTTGCGCGCGTCAGGGAAAACTGGTAGATTTACCGGCGTCCTCTCTAGTCACAACGTTCAAAAAGGCGACACGTGATGTAGGTGACACCCCACATGAAAAATGAATAGGCGCAATAAATAAATCTTTCTAGTTCTGTTCAGACGACATATTGGTTTCCACGTGACATATTTAGTGAAAGACTCATAGAAAGCGATGAGTGTGCAAAGACTCTGTGTTCAATGTAATTGAAATTTTGGTTCAGCATTTTCTCTGTTTGGTTATGGAGGTGTTTGGCCATGTAGATTGTAGTCAACTTGACCTTTCCAGGCTCTCAAGAAGGCGAAATCCGCCGAAACGTCAGTTTGTACGTAAATAAAGAAACAAAGTAACACCCCGTGTTTGCTGAACAGGAGTAGAAAGAATTATTCAATCAATGCCGAGGCTAATAGAAAGTCGGAGTTGGGAATTACTACAAGATGTACCAACAATAAATAGAAGTTAAGAGATTATGATAACAACTAGCGTTATTGAAGGCAATATCGATAAGTGCTGTTGTGTCCTCTGTCACACAAAAGAGAGATGGGAATCCGTCCTTCAAACAAAATCGAACATTAGAAACTAGAGATGCCTCCGCTTGCGCCAAGATATAGAAAATCAGATTGTCCAGGCATGAGATGCACCTTAACTATCAGCTGGTATACATGAGCCATCAGCAGCTGAGTTCCGCGTGGTGATAAATGTACAGAAAGATCTCCGATCAGACAGACCGCATACACCTGCGATCCGGAGTTTTGCAAATATCTCAACATCATTGAAGTAAGACTTATTGTTAAACTGCTTTGATAAAACAAGATGGTGAACGAGTTCTTTGAGCAAACAGAAGCATCTGAGCTACCGCTGAAAAGGAAAAGGAGAAATGGAGACTTTCGTCAAAGTAAAGACAAGCGATAACGGCAGGTGATTATGTCGAATGCAGTTTCTAACTGTAGGTTTTGGAAATTTATAAGCTTAAACATGTTCTTCATCTAAATTTGAAGAAAAAATTCTGAAATAATCCTCAAAACCTTTAAAAACTTCTATCTTTTTTAAGCAACTATCAAGTGAACCGCGTACGAGAATGTATTCGTAAGTGAGACTTAAGACAAAGCCGTTTTACTAGGACTAAAGAATCTTCCTTCATAAAAGAGATGATGACGAAATTTCAAAGAGAAATATTCTGGTCATGTGAGAGTGAAGACCAAGCAATTCTACGAAAAGCTTTAGGTTCCTTAAGAAAATGTGTATAGTGAGGGCTTTCTACGATATAATAAGCGATACTGTTGCAAACATTCGACTATGGTGGTTAACTCTTCCTTATCGGTAACGCACCTGACAGAATGCAAAAAGCTTTTGCAAATTTACGGCATCCGTAATGAAGTCGTATTTTCCGAAGTCGATTGGCTTACGTTTTTTATCGGCGAGGAGCTTAGCGGCTATGATAACCGCATCCAGTGAACCATTTGGGACCTAGAATCAAATGGTGAAGACGATCTCATAGCGCTTGTAGTAGAAAGCATGTGTTCTCAACCGAGAACCTACCTAATCTTTATCGTATAAATGTTATGGTTCATCGTTTGTTAATGTAAAAACGAGCGCTTTCACCTTTTTCTGATGATTGATGAAAGTTTACTACATAGACACGTGAACCCGGGTAGAACGGTAGGAATTAGGGAAATGTTAGGATCTGTAGAGCAAATTATGCGTTGCAAAGCAGTTTATTGTAGATAGTGCTTGTCGTTCGAGTGCACTGAATATAAAATTCGCTCAGTGCTCTTTCCTAAAAGAATTTCTTTTTGTTGGCAGCGACGTAAGCAAAAGATCTGGACAGCGTGCGAACCACTGTTCAACGATAGTCGTTATTTATCGCTCTGGTTTTTATCGCGAAAATAAAATGTGGTATACGGTATAGAAGGTTAGATGGAACGCCGCCACATAATTTCTACGACAGTTAATAAAAGGTTTCTAGGCGAATACTGAGCCTGTTTCACTTCAAAAAACGGCGGAAACTGTGGAATCTTATTCATTTGGCCATCACAAAACATCAGAACAACATTGGTAGTTGTGCTCTATGCTAGCTGCTAGTGATACCAGTTCTGAAGGATGGATTATCCAGAAAAAACGAGTTGTTATCGCCAGACAATCACTATTACCAGCAACCAGCTTCCTGTATAAAAGTGGATCGCCAGGTGAAATTGCCTCATCTGAGGGATTCTCGGGTGAAGAAGATCCGACTAGATACGTAGACGAAGACGCCCTATCGAGAAGACGAACAACTGTAGACGGTCGCTTCGAATCACCGACTCTGATGAAAACGAAGACGTCGAAACGTTAGCCTCGTGTAGGCTTATCAAAGAAGGAATACAACTTTGGCTATCCAAAAAACTTATTTAACTTGATGGCTACGAAACTGTAGCTCAGGATAGGTGTAGAGGAAATCGTAGGCCTCCAAACGACAACTCTAGCGATAGAAGGGTCCCGTTTATCCTACCCTTCATCTCAAATGATATAAGTACAGCTATAAAACGCTACTTAAGAAGGGCGGGTTTAGAGAATTCGGTGAGCGTAGTTGAAATACCACTGAGTAATCTTAAGCGCCAGCTAGTTCGTAACCGCCTATATGACCGTCTATGTGCAACTCAAAATTGCATAATTTGCCCCAGTGGTAGAGACAGTGATTGCATGAGCTCGGGTATAGTTTATCTGATCTCCTGTAAGACGTGTGGTGACGAATACATTGGCGAAACGGGTGGACCCCTCTGTGTCCGCATGAAAGAACACCTAGCCGGCAAAAATAGACCAAATACCCCGCTAGGCACGCATAGGACCCAGAGACATAACGGGGACGACTTCGATGTATGTGTCACGATCCTCGCACGCGAATCAAGAACACAGGCGCGAAAAACTCTCGAGGCACTCTGGATTAATTCCAGAAATCCGAAAATGAACCGCAGGAAAGAATGCCTCATTATCACGCGTGATATAGGGCAGTATATAAAACTGCTTTTCTGATGTGAGGGGCACATTATACTTCCATGTGATTTCTGTGCGGTTGGTCTCCACGTGACGTATTTAGTGGAAGACTCATAGGAAGCGGTGAGTTTACAAAGCTGTGTTCAAAGTGGTTGAAATCTTGGTTTAGAGTTTGTTTGGTTATGGAGGCGTCTGGCCGAGTAGATTGCTATCAACTTAACCTTTCCAGGCTCTGAGGAAGGCGAAATCCGCCGAAACGTCAGCTTAATCGTGAACAAAGAATAATAACACCGCGTTTGCTCAACAAAAATACGAAGAAATTTATTTAACTTGAATTTCTCAAATTTCTCATCACCATATTGGCTGTCAAAGTAGTTCATGTCAGTGTCTATTAATCCCTCCCTAATCCCATAGTCGATGATAACGATGGGAGAGATAAGTGAATATTAATGCGGTGCTCATGACCGTTGGGTTTTCAATGCTAGTCAATTCAGAGTCGAGCAGCCGAGTGCTATCAAGCAAACGCGAAAAAGTATCGAAATTCTGTTCACGTGAAGGGACATGCATATAAATCAATGCATTTGCTCAAATCTCTTCCAAATTTGCATTAATACATATGAATTCGTCATTTATGTTAAACGTAATAAGAGTACTTTTACCGCGAAATAACATAACAGTTACGGCTATCCACTGTCCCACTTACCCAAAAATAAACTTGATGTTTAATGTTTCATTGGAAACCAACGGTTCATAGGATTTCTAACAAATATGTGCCGTTAGCTTGCACCACATTTCTACTAACGAATCCATCTATTAGAGCTATTCCGAATTCCATTTTGGATGATAAATCTGCTCTTTGGTCAAGAAGGATTAGTCGAGAAGAGCTAAAGTGGGAAACAATGGTGGCATTAATCAGTGCCGAATTCTTTTATGTGTGCTTTTTTACTAGACTTCCTTTGCCATTCTACGAAATTAAGTGAGCTTAGGTGTGAGAAATGTCGATCTAACATTGTAATAATGTCATTCTTCTGATTCCTAGAAGATAGATTAATCTGGAAGAAATGTGATTTTGCGGCTTGAAAGTATGTCGTTCGTAAAATCGTTGAACATAAAAGTTCTCTTTTTACTAGGGGTCTAATAACAGCATTATGAGCGTATTTCAACCGCTGAACAATGAAATTTAATAGGTGCTCACTTTGAGGTGATTGATATCGTAGACAACGACTCCACAGTCTTGTTGTAATTTTCCTCCTGGCCAAAAGAACGACTCAGTCGGCATACCGGGCACCTAAAAAAAACGTTTTTAAGTTTTCAGGCTTTTGTTGAGCAAATATGAAAAAGGAGCTTTTTACTGTGATGCTCACCTCATTCAGTAACAAATTTAGCAAGGACTTTAAGTGCTAAGGGTGTCTTATTGAAATAACACCTGCCAGATTTCTTTAAACTTTCTTTTGTAATCTTGGGTTATCTATGCGAAATGTCGGGTCCTACAGTGTGGTCTTTCATTTCTGTTACCATATTTTTATATTTATGTGGTTAATATATTTAATAATTTTTTGGTTGTTTATCACTATAATTGACTTGTTATTTTACCTATTTTTTTACTTTTATTTATTTTATGTTTATTTTATTACTAATTTTATTATTATTTAGTTAGTTTATTTCTTATTTATTTTATTTATTTTTTTATTTTTTATTTATTTATTTTTAGTTTATTTCAGTTATTTATCTTATTTATTCATCACTTTTATTTTGTTTTTATAATGATTAATATATAATGTTTTTATTATGTTTCTATCCTGTGTTTCATATATTGTTCTAAAGTGACGCTCAGAATATGTCATTCTCACTCGTAATCAGTTCTTTGGTTGGACATTCATATCAGTGGGTATTCCCAATTTTTTTGCTAGTTATCGAACGGTTGTCGATGTTTCAGCTTCTTAACATCAACGAAAGTCCTCAGCTCTCCACAACCCTTACTTATAAGGCCTTCATCTCGAATTCGAACTTCTCGAACCAACTATTGACGGTTCGTTCGTCAAGTAAAGTGTCTTTGGATGTTGCTATTGCTGTTAGTAATTCGAGGATTTTCCGAAGTATTGTAATCTTTCTTCCACTTGTACAGAAGAATTTTGGAAACAGCACATTTTACCTACAATAAGAAAAATTTATGGAAATACATTTGAAACTAAAGGAAAACGTAACGTGATAGTAACAGAGTCAAAACCTCGGCATTGACATAATGTATAAGCTATTCATTAACAGAAAAGCGAAGTAGTATCGTAGAACGTTAACAAAATCGGGCATTGTAGGCGGAATAGCTTAGTGGGCTCCGTGGAGTGTTCTTAAAGTGTTGAGGATTGAAAAATTCACATGAACTGTTGGTTCACTTACTCACCTGTGTTTGTTTGTTAGTATTATTCTTCTATGTGACATTCAAAGAGAGTCCAAGGAAATAGCGAAACGCTAATAACCTTTTTTTTCACTGAACTGACAAAATACGATTTATGAGCTAAGACGAGATTGCCAATACATATTTTCGTTTCCAATGGCTTCCGTTGAGCTAACAATATCGTGTCACCTCACCAATGGCACTTCACAGTAACAAACGAGCTTGTACGTTAATAATTTACTGTTTTCTTGATGAGAAAATACGATGTTGTTAGTACATTTACTTCGCACTAGCTAACATTTTGGTGGATTTCGCCTTCTTCAGGATCTGAATGGCTCAGATTGCCATGCAATCTACTCAGCGAAATACTTATATAAACCCAGCAGAGCATACCAGAAACCTAGATTTGAGTCGCATGGGAAGCATCTTCTTTAAACGTCAACCATATTCTATGAGTCTCTCCATTATTTATGGAGACGACTTGCACAGAGTATACATGGATGGAGAAATTTTTTTATTAATGCCAAAGTTAGTGGAAAGTCACATTGCCAAATTAAAGTGGTACTTGAGAAATTTCCACAGCTTTTGTTGCAACATTTCTTTGAATAGCAGTAAGTTTGGTTCAATAATAGTTGCATTAGAGCAGCAATAACTAACCCCCTCGAAAACGCGCCTTCGTCAAGTTAAAGGTCTCGTTCTACTATCAACGTAAGTATCTCATCATTTGGAATCCATGAAATTTTCGCAGGCATTCTGATAAAACCCCTCAGTGTTGAATATTTTGTAATATATAAATCCTATTAATGGAAAAATGAACTTTCCATCCATAAACAGGGAAATATTCCTGCAATATCAAATAATTCACACTTGTCAACACAACATTTCTGAAGTGACTGAGTGATTCGCATCACGAGAAGACGTGCTACCTCCAGAAATATTTCTATTTGATTGGTATGTTGGGGTGCGATCAAGATTTTCCCATAGAGTTTCAAGATAGCCGTGCTCTGGCATACACAAGTCAGAGTGGTGTCGGCAGATATACCACTGAGTTTTTACGACTACGGTGGTGACTTCTGGCATTGATTTATTCCTAGGCGTGCTTCCGAGTAAAAGTGTAGAAGTGTTCAGCAAACGAAGCTATTACACTAATAGTCGTACTACTTTTCGTCATTCCATGCCTTTTCGTCCTTAGGGAACCAAATTTTTACAGAACAAAAACTTTTTCAATGTTTACCGACTGATCCATTGACGAGTATTCCCAGGTGTCGAACTCTTATGAAGGTAACGGTTTCACCTCTTAAACAGGGCATCCGAGGTTGAGGAGCAGTTCGATATTTTTATCCGATCAAGGATGACCGCCATTCCTATAGAACCATAGCGACGAAGTAGTTAAACTCACTCCTACGCACAAGAGCTTGAGATGTCTTGTGGTGATCACCTGAGAGTACTGTATAGTGGCTATCTCAAAACTCTGAACTGAGGAACTCTCGATCGACAAGAAATTACCAGCCAAATACAATTTAGTGGAGGTCCTGCACGAATCCTCGTGGAAAATTCGTGGATTTTTCATTCTAGTAATTTTTCTGGATATAGAAATCTTCAAATATATTCCTACAAATACATAGATGAGAGCTGATCGATTACATGTGCTCTTTTACTCACGAGGATCGTAGGGGTGTCGTCGCTGAGTAGCCACTGATAGCTGCCAATTCTGTCTACATACTTGGTACTGGTCGGGCCACCTTTTCCAGCGAGATTCACCAGCGGTAAAAGTCCGTACGGTTCCTCCTCTAGTCCATCAAATAGCCAAAAACCCTCTGCCATCTGTGAATGACAAAGACAAGTACATTTTTGATTCAGTTAGCAACTCTTCATGAAACTAGATTATCACACTAAAAATGGTTTAAAGTGGGAGAAAGCAATTGAATGAGAGAGATATCATGAGGCCTCGACACTTTTATGCCAATTTTTCTTTCCAAGAGATTTCCTAGTTCATCAGTGGCCAACTAAAACATGAACGTAAGAATTGCAGTGTAATTACTCTTGTAATTTTCTATCTAGTGCCTAACCGACAAGTGGCAGAAGCTGTCGCATTTCAAGAAATTGACATAAACAGAGCACAAGATGAGATCAAGTAATATGGCGGTGAAAGAATTTCTTTGCTTTGCAACCAGTCAGGTTGCTAGAAACGTGATTTCTAGTGTGACATCTATTGAAATATAGGAAAAACACTGCAAAAATTTAATGGAAGGAAGGGGGTCGATGCATTGCGGAGGAGGGGTTGTTATTACACTGAACCCTCCGTGAAAACGCATAGCTCAGTATATGTGACGAATGTCGCTGGCTAGCCAGAAGGATGGGAACTAGGTTAGGTGCGAGATTAGACCGAATTCAGCCATCTTTAGATACTCTATCGACATCGCTGTTCAATAAAAAGAAAGGAAAATCCTTCAAACAATGACCAGAAAGTGTTAGTGAGGGCGGCTGAGGTACAAGATCGGATGGGTTGTCGCGTTTCCGAGCTGGAGGGGTAAAACGACCACTTTACAGTGTGAATTTGAGCGCCTGTTGCTCATAGAAAACAACATTGTATAACTAACCGTGTCATGAGAACTTTAATAAATCCTATTACCACAATCAAAACATCAAATCCCGATGGAAAACAACGACGGGCTGGTATCGTAAAGAAAACACCTGCCACTAGAAGTGCTCCGGTCATTTGAAAGTCTGTCATATTTAATGGGGACTGGTCACTAGGAGTACTCCGAACTTTTGAAAGTATGTCATATTTAATGGAGGTTAAGTATATATTATGAACCGCGTGTGGCTCAGTGGTCGGAGGCTACCTACAACGCACTCGTGGGATCGATCCCCACGCCTTTGGCCCACCTAGCCTTCCATCCCTCTAGGGTTAGCACAGTGGTACTAGACTTATTTAGGAGGATATCAGCACTGGCTCGGTACATCGGTACGCCACCACAAGTCATTGTAAGGGCCAGATGCATTCAATCACCTCCAAGCGATGCTTATTTGCTTATTCAAGCCGAATCCATGGCGCATCCCTCAGAGATTGATCAACGACGAGAGTTTTATCCTTTTTATCCTTTCCTTTTAAGCATACACTGACATGTGACCTTTCTGAAGGGATTTCACAGTGGGATGAAGTACTTCCTTCTTCTGGTTACACACACCTAAAAATGTTTGCCTGTTTTCTCGGAAGGTAATCAACGCATTGGTTACAATTCATTTCATTCATAAGTAGTGTCTTCTTATAACTTAAAACCATTACATCTTGGCTCATATAGAATTTTACCAGTTCGAATAAAAACATTTGGAATATGAAGATTGTTCCCTACAAAGTGTAGGCTATCTTGTTTTAGTAGGATGAAATTTTGACTTTCTAGGATCAACTGACGTATTTCTGCACGTCGTTTTTTACATCGAAGCCCTCATTTCAAAGAGGAAAACAAGTGGGGTTCCTCAATGTATCGTTTATATTTAGACCTACTACTGACGCTGTGAAAATTCGAAATTTTTTAGTTCCTTCTCAGCTTCATGGAAATTTCACTCTATTTCGCAAAAAACGATTCTGCTTTACATTTTCTTGGCAATGGTTTCAATCAGACTTACGTAGTTGCTGCTTGCCTTCAAATCAGGCCATCGGGTTAAAGGATGAAAAGTAAAAGAAGAGGAAACAAGCTCAAGCAATTATTTCATAGGTCTAAGGCGATAGGAACGATTTGCAGTAAAGGCGTTTTATTTCGATTCAGAACCGTTCGCGAACGTGCAGTAACTCCGTGCGAACGTTTCAAACGCCCATAATGGAAATGGGAGTCTCGACGAGAGGACAACTGCCATCGACGACGACTATTTGAGGACGTTATTTGGATGAACTACACTTCTAACGGCCAAAATGTCCTCACAAGACCGAGGCGTATTTAAAACAATGGTATTTGATCTTCTCGAAACTACACAACAGCGTACTGCATTAAGTGAAAGACTGGTAGAGAGCAGAGGTATGGAGTCGGTTGCGGGTATGTTTATCGAAGTAAAAAATAATCTCATTCGTAGTACTTGTAGACACTCCAAGATGAAAATGAGAAGAGGAGTATTTCCCGAAACTAATTTCGAATAAGCAGGTTACCACGGATCTTTATTGATGATAAAATCTTCGCCTGTGACTCAATTTTCGAGACATCAGCACAGCATTGTCAAGAAATCGACGAATTTTCTCAGACTGCAATGTTACAACCTGACAACTAATATAAGGACACGTTATCTTAAATAATCCAAAAAACCTGTGACGAATACTGTAGAGTATCAGGGCAAAACTAATGATCGACTCGATGCGCCTGCCTAACCAAGGAGATCACCAGGACAAACAGATGTGGGTAATCGACTCGGATCACTGCAACTCTGAACAAAGCGAAGAAGCCGAAACGTATCACCTGTATCACCAATAGCTCCGTTGATCGCCGAGTGACTCGAGCGAGCGCCAATAAATCTTCCATTTTTCCTCGTCGCGTGCAAGAGCACCCCAGTGGGTTCTCCTCGCTCTAGGGAATTCTCGAATTCTCGAGCATCATATCTTTCTTTTAGGCTCTTCGTGAAGAACTCTGGCCATCGGGTCGGTGGTCTTCCCGCAGTACGTTTGACATTCCGAGGAATCCAGTCACTAACGGCTCTTATCCATCGGTTCTCATTCATACGTATTACGCGTCCGGCCCACCTTCTCTTCGACTGTTTGGCGTACAGAATGGCATCTTTGATTTTTCATCGCTGACGCAGGTCGGAGCTCCGGATTCCATCCCTTACTTGTGTGGAACGGGATACTCCTAGCATTGTTCTTTCGTTCGTGCCTTCGATAACGCTGAGTGATCTTTCATCCTGCTTACGCAGCGACCAGCTTTTTGACGCATACGTTAAGGCAGGAAGTATCGTAGAGTCGTAAAGTTGGCACAGAGTCGGATGTTCTTTGTTCTCTTCACTACATCTTGGGTTCTCTTGAAAGTTCCCCAAACTGCTCGTTTCCTTCTGCTCAACTCTCGTCCATTCTTCGCTCAAGTTCTATTTTTTTCAAGCTTTTAATTTCGTTCGTTGCTGAAACGTTAGTTGAATAAATCTTTGTAACTACCTTGTATTTGCTAATCAATATGTTACAATTAATAGCCCTTCTTGAACGGCAACTTCGAAATGAAATGACATAACTCAGCTGTGCTGGAACTTTATTGATCAGAATAGAGCGATTATAATCTAGACACCTTATTAAAAGAAAAGCGTAAGTTTATCAATTTCGGTAGCTCATAATTCTGAATTTCTGGTTGTGATGAGCTTTTCAAATGCAACTTCTGTAGCAATATAGGTGCTGCAGACCTTCTTCAGACTGTACTTGTCGAGTTGAGTGATAAAAGTGACTGCTGATTAGTAGGAGGTCCTATGAGTATAGTAGGTAAGGGAGTGTTTCCTATTCCTAGTTGTTTCTTCAGGCAACACTTGTCCCTTGTGGGTGAAGTGTTGCTCTGCGAGAGAAATAAACTTTTTTATTTAATCATGCGCACAATTTGTTGCATAATTCTCGTAGGATTTCGTGAGCGCTTCATTCCTCTATCGAAAAGGAAAAGGTGCTGACAACCATATTCTGATAAAGCTTTTAAAATCTCGACGGTTAGACATTACATATTGTGCATGTTTAGACAGCTCTTCGACCTTTGCCTTCGACATTTGCATGTGAGTTCCGCTGGTGCTTGAAGAGTTTCTTTCTTCTTTATACATGTCTCATTTGCTGGTCGACTCGATTTTTCCTCGAATTTTCTTGTAGTCGCGATAGAGAGTTCTCAGATTTTCATAAAAGGCAGGCTCCATGTTTTGTTGATTGGAGGAGCGAGCTGGCCTGGACAAGTGTGACGCCAATTTTCCAACCCTAGAGGGTTTGGTCAAGCTAAAACAGGATCAAACTAGTGCTTTGTGCTCGTTGAAGGAATTACTACTGTTGTTTTCTGCGCAAGTTCGAAGAAAATTGAGATTTTAAAGATACTTAAGGAACTTGTTGCATTGTAATATTCGTGCTGAGCGTCATTTGTTAAAGAAAAGTGGAGCCAGAGTCATTTTTCATCTTATGTTACAATGCAGTCAAAAATTTCGACGTTCCTGCTGCGCAAAAAAGTGAAGATCAGACTTTATGACGCTAACTTCGTTGCCATTCACTGAAATCATATTGCACAAAATTACCGAGCTTTTTCATCGTTCTATCGTTGTCAATGTGGTGGCCGGCTCTTCATTCGTGAATAGTTGGGTTTTCCTACATCGTCTTAGTTGGCCGTTAAACTTCAGTTAACGATTTCGAATGGCCTTCATCAACTTTTCACAAAGTGTCACCAGCTTTTCGATCATGAAGACTCATATCTTCGACGCAAGACATTATGAACCATCTCTTCAATATGCGTTTAGAAGCACGTCCGAGGTGCTCATTTGGTGAAATTTCGAATTGCTTTCTTCACAAGTTCAAACTTATTTTTAAAAAAAATAAGATTTTTATGCTTTGAAAGCCTCATCAATTGGTCTAAAATCCTTAAAAGTTATATTTCAGGAAGGAAAATTAGTATGGCGAATTATTCAAAAAGGTACAAACAAAATAGTGTCCATAAGCAGCCCATGCAGCAAACATCTTGTGCAAAGTTGTTTTTCACAAATTTTGTGAGGGTAAGAATGGCCCTTATTTTTCCATCCACCTAGTAGTGAAAATCGTGTTGGCGAAAATTGTTCCATCCAATATGCTTATCACACTCTTCCCTTAAATAATACTATTTTTCAGAAGTTTCACGAAC